AAGGAAGGAAGGAAGGAAGGAAGGAAGGAAGGAAGGAAAATGGAAAGAGGGAGGGAGGGAAATGGAAGGAAGTCAATTGTCAGCCTCTTGGGGAGAATTTGGGGACAAGGAGTACATCAGGAGAAGGAGACTTGAAACTAAACAAGGGAAGTGTTGGAGAAAATGCCTTCAGAGAGAGGTCAACCAAGATGCCCCTGCTAAGAACCTGCCTCTCACGGCTCCAATTCCGCTGCCTTCGCCATAATTGAGCCCCAAAGACTGAATTGTTCAGACCGAAGGAATTAAACTATTGAGAACTTAGGTGCAGCCAAAGTTAGGTCTCTTATTACAACTGCAGTGTGTGAGCAACCTTGGAGTTACAATGAAAATAGCTCACTAGGGTAGGCTGGGGGAAAGAAAAGAATAACTATTAGGAGAGGGAGGGGAGAGACAAGCCTGACAAAACTGCCTCTAACCAAAAGGGAAATCAAATCTCCACATTCTCTGGAAACCTACTCTTTTCCTTTCTGTGCAGGTACCAAATAAATCATGTCACCGGGAACTCTGTCTATTAAACCGAGGAGGTGGGGGCAGCCCTCTAAGGGGGTCTTGAATTCAAGTCCAACAAGAGGCGTAAAAGTGTTAATCCAATTGTGTGGGTCCACAGTTGCTGGCCTCAGCAAGATATGAAACCCAGATCCCCTCCTCATCCTTCTTCCAACAGCTAAACCTGGTGTGCATTTTAAAAGTCAGCGTTGGAGGTGAACTATGGCTGGATCACAATGGAAATAAAAGAGACCAGACCCAGGAGTTGGGCTGAAGGGTGACCATTTTATTCAGCCAATATTCATCCACAGGTATTGAATCCTTTGAGATGCAAGAGGGATTAGCAACTGAGTAGGGAAGCAACTGAGACAGTGGGATTCCTCAGAAGTTGTCTTGATGGTCCCTTCCTCTGCAATAGAACCTATAGCACCAGTTATTCATCAGTGGTCTCCCTTCCATGTCCTAACCATGGCTAGCCCTGGTTAACTTCCAAGATCAGATGTGATCTGGTGCCTTTAAAGTATTTGTGTGTGTATGTATGTGCCTTCAAGTTGCGTTACGGTGGTCACCCGAACTTCATAGGGTTTTCTTGGGCAAGGAAACCTCAGAAGTGGTTTTACCAGTTCCTTCTTCTGAAATTGAGATGATATTTGTCAGCAGTCTCCCATCCAAGCCCTAACCATGGCTGACCCTGCTTAGCTTCCAAGATATACCCAAAGTTTAAATCTTAAACTCTTTCACACACACAAAAAAATAATGCCAGCCAAGACTGTGCATCAGAGTCTAGGCTAGACTTCATAGCTCCCTTGCAGAAATTTCGTTGCAATACAGCCCTGTTTGCGAATTGCAAAGGCAGGCATTGAAGCAACGACAAGAGTGGTCAGATGAGCCTGGAACAACAGTGAGGAAGTTAAATCTACTCAGGGGTCAGTCTGAGCTTGAAAAGAGGTGTCTAAGGTGCAGGGACTATCTTGGAGGTAGGGTTCAATTCAGGCTAAAACCCATGTCCCCCCTGCTTTGTCATAGGAGCCACCAGCCAACAGATTTTCTCAAAGAGAAACCTGTGAGCCTGTGTTTGTGGACTGAGTCCTCATTGCAGCCTGGTTACACACTACATTTGCCACTCTTCTGTGGAATTCAGGATCGTTCAGGTCCTAACCCTGTGACTTCCTTGCCTGAACACTTCTTGCTTGCTGTTTTCTAAAATGTCACTCTACGTGTGTTCTTCCTTGGCAACCTTCCTCCGGTTTTGTTAATTTGGAAGTGCCTTATTGATTTGCTATTTTGAGCTAAAGGTTAGGCAGTGTGATTTCTTCCAGGGAGACAAAGATCAACCCTAATTGGCCACAACGGCTGATGAACCGTGAGGAACGGGCGATGGCAAGAAGGAAAGGATTCGCTTGGCACGGCCAAAGGTCTGGCTCTCCGCAAAGCGCTTTGTCTTCCAAAAGCAAACATGTGTACATCTGTGATTAAGTCTTTCCTCTGTAAGCAAAATGTAATGATAGGTAGATAGGTAGACAGACAGACAGGCAGACAGATAGATGATAGCTATATGATAGAGATAGATAGATAGATAGATAGATAGATAGATAGATAGATAGATAGATAGATAGATTGAGATAGATAGATTTGACAGACGATAGATAGATAGATAGATATAGCTATATGATAGATAGATAGATAGATAGATAGATAGATAGATAGATAGATAGATAGACAGACAGATGCAATAACTGCAGAAACAAGTTACAAATGGAAAGCTTTACTCCACTTGTCTGGTCCCAAATGCTTCTATATCTTTGAGCTTCCAAGCTAAAGTGCATTTATTGAGTAGGGCCAAGGGATGATGAAATAACCCTTCGAATGCCACTGAGAAGCTCTTAGCATCTGACCATGTTGCTGATAAGGATTCTCGAAATACGTCACCTTCTCAGTCAGAGAGCTCTGGTGCCACAACAAACTACAAATCCCAGGATTCAATAGGATGGAGCCACGGTAGTTAAAGCAGTGTCAAACTGCATTCATTCTCTATTGTGGTGGCAGACTCAGTTTCTTCTCAAAGGAAACCAGGAGCATTTTTACAATTTTCTCCCCACTATGAACACCATGCAGTTTTCAAATCCTATTTGCAACTTGGGACCTATTCTGCGCAGAAATTTGCACACGGTTATTTTGTGCAGAAAGCAGCATTGAAAAACGTGTTTTTCAACCATTTTGCTCATATTTTTGCAAAATCTTCTTTCCATCCCAACACACTGCCCATCTCTAAGCGCCAGGCATTGGGGACAATGGAGTCAATGGAGAAGTCTGTTTGCCTTCATACTCTCCTTGCCAAAACAAATTCCGCATCTAGTGAAAAGTCCATTAGCTCTGAAGGTATCTCATGCACCTTTAGGTCAGGTCCTTAGATTGCAAAAAGGGGCTTTCAGAGACATCAATTATACACATTCTCCATCTGTTTAATGCAGCCCTGAAAGCACAATGCAGGCAGAAAAATAAATAAAAATAAAGGATAGGGTTTTGTTTTGTATAAATATATGAGGCTCTTGAGGCTCTGCAATTTTGCAGGAGATAAGATGAGAAAGGAATATATGAGGCACCACGAACCAACCAGAATATTTTATTCATCGTCTTCCTATACACAAATCCAAAGAGAGTGGCAGACTGCCAAAACGTCCTTCTGTTAGTATATGCTACAAGCTAAGAAATACATCTTTGTTGGGAGGGAAAAAAATGCAATAATATATATTTTGAAAAACTTTCCCCAATACTTCCATTAAGGTTTTCCTTTGTCAGAGCAAACTTTGGAGATTTCCATGATTAAAGCTCTTCACCGAACTTCTGGAGCAAGGTCTTCCAGTCTTATGGTGACTCTAAAGCAAACCTATTATGGGGTTTCCTGGGGGGGGATGTTCAGAGAAGGTTTCCATTGAGGCTGAGAGCATGTGACTTGCCCAAGGTCATGACAAAGATGGGAATTGAACCCTGGCCTCCAGAGTCATAATCCAATGCTCAAACCACTGCACCCATTCTGGCTCATACGTTTAACAGTAGAAGGCTCTTTTCCAAAAATATCCTGGACATGCAAACAAAGCATGGCCCATTCAATGCTCACCAATCCAGCATCATTGGTTTTAAGAGTGTTAGCTCACATTCAGTAGATGAAAAATAACAAGGTCTGTGGTTGCCATTGTGTTGCCTGGTCTTTGTGCAACCTCTCTGAGGGCCACATCCCACCCCAAGAGACATGCATGAAGGCCATGTTCTCGTGGTTAATGGGACCCAAAATATCAGCATGCATTAGCTAAATGCTCTTGCTTCCAGGAGCTTGGGAGAACCATTTCATCAACCATTTGGAAAGCAGGGAGCATGGAAATATCGGGAAACCTTCCAACAGTGGTGTCTTGGGGGGGGGGGAACTAATAGACTTAGGTGACTACAAGGGTGATTTACCCCAAATTCCCCCAGGCTCACTGCATCCTGTTTACATGCCAAAGGGCCAAAACCCTGAAAGGCAAGAGCATGATCTGTCCTGGAAGCCCTGACCTCCCTCTCCTCTTTCATCCATCCAACCTTTAGTGTGAGCACAAACAATGCACCTCTTGGAATTTTGCAAGTTCTTTGTCATCCCTTTCCTTTGCTTCATCCTTTAGATCCTTTGTTGCATGCCCCTAAGTTTTACCCTCGACTTATCCAGGGGTCATATCAAAATCCATCATTTTGGACCCCAAACTTGCCCTTGGCTTATACATAAGGTCAACATATAGTCAAGTATATACAGTATTCAAGCTCTGGGGTTGACAACCGTTCCCATGGTCTTGCTCTCTGGAGGAATCCAGCAAGGGTAGTCCAAAAATGGAACTTGTCCAAGCTTCATGGTCAACATGTTGAAGATGGAGAAGAGCTGTACATCAATGGTAGATCACAAAAGTTCAGCCATGGAATTGCCGGAAAGGGCCAAGAAAGCAATTTTATGATCTTGGTGGGACTTGGGAGAAAGCTCTCCCTCAAGGAGGTCAAAACGTAGGCAGTCTCATCTAGAGAGCAACCACCAAGAAGGCCATGTCCTGTATCTTCACCAAATGTGCCCATGCATTTGGTGGGAATGAAAGCAAGCTCTCCCCTTGGGAATCTAAAAATTCAGGCAGGCTCACATTACCAGAAAGATTGAGTCATGCAATTTAAAAAAATCCTGCCCAGATATTTTTCTACCCTTCCCTTTCCCCAATTGAAAGCAATTTACTAATAAATATCAGAAGGCCAAGGCCGCCTGTTCTGTTTGAGCTTTCCTTGATGAGGAAACAATATTCCTATTCTTCTTAATACTATGGGAAGTAGGTTGGGAACAGCTAATGCCTATTTGCAAGCAAATTGCTTACAACTGGATTTTAATTTAGTGGCGCTCACGGCCGCAAATGCCTTTCGACGCAATGTGTATAAACTCTGGCTGATGAAACATCTCAGGCATACAAAGCATCCCTTCATTAGTTTACTAAATTGGATTTCATTCCATTTCTTTAAAAAAAAAAGAGGAGAAAGAAAGAAAGAAGACAAGAATGGCTGGTTCAAGAAGGCTTCCTCACATACAGAAAGAAGCGAGGAGGGAACTGTTTGCTTTGGGCTGAGAAAGAAGAGTAGGATCTTCAAAGTGATGTCTTAGCAGAGACAGCAGTCTCATTTTGAGAGGGTGACTTTGGGCAAGTCACACTCTCTCAGCCTCAGAAGATGGCAATGGCAAACCTTCTCTGTTGAAATTTACCATGAAAAACCCTTAGGGTCTTCGTAAGTCAACGGCACACAGAAACAACAACAAACTGCCCATGAAAGCCAGTCTCTAAGAAGGATGTGGTTGTTGTGTACCTTCAAGTCATTTCTGACTTATGGTGAACCCATCATTGGGTTTTCTGGGGCTGAGAGTGTGTGACTCACCCAGTGGGTCTTCATAGTCAAGCAAGGAACTGAAGCCAGGTTTCAGGAGTTGTAGTCCAATGCTCAAACCACAACCGCACACTGGCTCTCTGAGAACGTACAGAGGTCTTTAAACAGAGGCTGGATGGCCATCTGATGGGGATGCTTTGATTTTGAGTTCCTGCATGGCAGGATGGGGTTGGACTGGATGGCCCTTGGGGTCTCTTCCAACTCTATGATTCTATGATTCTATGTCCTACTTTGGGGCATCTGGTTGCCCACTTTGGACTTGTTGCTGTTCATTACCATCAAGTCAACTTGACTTACAGTGTCCCTAGGAATGAGAGATTTCCAAGTCACCCTGTTATCAAAGGCCCATCTCAGGTCTTGCAAAATCATGGTTTTGGCATTGTGAGCCCTCACACAATTGTTAATTACTGGTATTCATTGGACAAAAAAACAAAAAACAAAAAAACTGTAAAATTGGAAATTGCACCTAAATTGCAACCTATGAGTTCTTTGCAGAGTGATAGATTTTACTTGGAATGAATTTTTGGGGCTTCTAATCAGAATCCTAGATCCAGCGTGGCATAGTGGTTTGAGTGTTGGACTATGAACTCTGAAGATCAGTGTTCGAATCCCTGTTTGACCATGGAAACGCACTGGATGACCTTGGTCAAGTCCCAAAAAAGCGTGTGATAAGTCTTCCTTAAGGTCACCATATGTTGGAAAT